CTTAATAACGTTAACAACAGCAAGATGTTAGTACCGATAGTCCAAGTGAAATAGTGCAGGATTACGATAAACTTTGCCCTGAACCTACCACACTAGACTTGGATGGGCTCGGACTGCCATGTCAGAACGCTGATTGTTAAGTAACAATGGAAGGAATTTATTTTTCCATTTTAAGAGAATACCACGTAGTTCGCAATATTAAGGCTTAAATAGGAGAATCGGTGATCTAAACGAGCAAGCGATTTCGGGAAATATAGTTAAATCACATCAACGTCGATTGACTGGAACATGCGGCTCGGGGCTATTAGCAAACTCGTAGTACAAGATCGCCGTCAACAGATTCCATGCTGCTAAAATGCAATAACTTCTCGATTTCATGGATAAGTCACCAGATTATCGACAATGGATCCCATGATGTTGGAGAGCACCGGTAGAAAGAAGAAATGCTGGGGTTTGAAGATTCAGTCATGCATTTCTCATTGTGGATTAGGGTAATGACGACAAGCTTCCATAGGCTATGAAACTAATTTGTATCTATACATTACAAAGCTGCGTCAACGGCTCCATTACTTTCTTTGCTGCTGTACCTAGTACATTTGGGCGAATAATGTCGACTCAATGCTATCCACGGTTGCTCAAGAAACTCAGGTTCTACAGTAAGACTTCGGGGTAAAGAAAAATTAGCGGCAATCTGACGGCGGCGCAACAAGATCTGAAACATTGCCCAATGGCAAACACGTTTAAATTTAAGACATATAGCGTCCTCACTACGTTTGATTTTAATGCAGTACTTCTTTTCTGACTTTCAGCCATCTCGAAGGAAACGATGTTTACCTCATGTTTTAGGGCCACGGGCGTATTTATGCAACATTTTGTAGCTGGCAATAGTTAGACCGCTACATTTGCTTGGTATGTTACCGTGTCTTCTCAAAACAATTGAGTGCAGTGGTCAAATTGCGTTACGAATATTTCTGTGCATATAAAGATAAACAAATTTAAATATTTTGTTCGTCGCAATCAGCCGACAATTCAGTTATGTCGACCATATATCCGGTAAAGCACCAGACGGCAGCTTCGCCCTATTGACGCTCATCAGTGGTGTGCATCCTTCGGTCCTCTGCGGAGGATCGAACCCATGACTGCTAGTGGCTCTTGCCAACTAGCCCGCAGCTTATGCAACTACGCCATGGAGGACGGTATCTGACTATCGTGAATTGTTAGCTAAATGCGATATAGCCCGACGCATCCTCCACTGTCATGCAGGCACCTGCCATGCCGATGAGAGCGGTCGGCCTTCCGGTGGCAGGACTTCCGGGTTACGGCAGCTATGAATCGACATAGCATGTTGTGGAATCCTTAAGGGCGAATTGGTATTACTTATGAATGGAAGGATTTTGGTGAGTATTTTTGTTCGTCGCAATCGGCCGACAATTCAGTTATGTCGACCAGCTATCCGGAAAAGCCATTCATAAGTAATACCAATTCGCCCTTAAGGATTCCACAACATGCTATGTCGATTCATAGCTGCCGTAACCCGGAAGTCCTGACGCCGGAAGGCCGACCGCTGTCATCTGCATGGCAGGTGCCTGCATGGCAGTGGAGGATGCGTCGGGCTATATCACATTTAGCTAACAATTCACGATAGTCAGATACCGTCCTCCATGGCATAGTTGCATAAGCTGCGGGCTAGTTGGCAAGAGCCACTAGCAGTCATGGGTTGGATCCTCCGCAGAGGACCGAAGGATGCACACCACTGATGAGCGTCAATAGGGCGAAGCTGCAGTCTGGTGCTTTTCCGGATAGCTGGTCGACATAACTGAATTGTCGGCCGATTGCGACGAACAAAAATACTCACCAAAATCCTTCCATTCATAAGTAATACCATTTCGCCCTTACGGATTCCACAGCTTGTTATGTCGATTCATAGCTGCCGTAACCGGGAAGTCCTGACACCGGAAGGCCGACCGCTGTCATCTGCATGGTGAATTTAAATATCTATAGGCTCTATATGCAGCGTGTGTACTAATGTCCGATTTTGCGTCCTAATACTTAAGAGAAAACTGCTTTGCATTCTTTGTTAAACAATTTGTCTGAAGCATATTTTATCAACCAATGGTGTCCACCGATGAATTCCATCGTGGTGACCCAGAAATCTCATGGGATGAATGACCAGTTTATGGCAATAATAAGCTGGGCCAGCGGGTTCTAGTGCGTAATCGTCCGCAAGGCCTCAGCTTTCCTGTCTGGCTACTTCACATCACATAAAACCGGGAAATATTGCTGGAAATCACTGCTACCCAAATAAGGTACATGGTTAACAATTCTACCCTAGATTATATTTTGACGAACACAAGATCCCGTGCTGTTGGCCGCTTGTTTGTTCTGAGCCAAGAAGACGACATGGCGTGGTTGTGCTGTAGAGCACATGTATTTAGCTCTTCAATTGTTCCCCGTTGTTTCTGAGGACTCCTAAAGATGTACACTATAATCAAACGCGCGGCGAATGCGAGTTCAGTTGCCACTTGGATAACGTCTTGGTACAGTAGTTAGGTAGCACTGCATTTTAACCGTAGAGTTCGAGGGGCGTAGCACTCCAAGACTAGAAAGAAAATGTACATGCTGTTCGGTTGCAAACAGCAACAGTGCTAATCAAGAATCGAAAAGTCTGAATATCCTATATCCTAACTACATATTAGGTTGGGAATAATGTTGTAGCGCTTTTTAATCTTAAAATTGAAATTAACAAATCTTTATGACGAAACTAGAACATGGTCCACTCAGGACGCACATTTTTTGAAGGGAAATGTACGTACGGTATGTCAATGAGACCTTCTTGCTTTGCGAATCTGAAAAGCATGCAGAACTGTTGCTGAGAGTCTTTAATAATGTACATGAGAATCTGCGATTCACCTGAGAGTAAGAAAACGGGAACCGATTACCTTTCTTGGATGTGGAAGTCATCCGCAACTCGGACGGCTCATGTAGCAGAAAGGTACACAGAAAGTCTACGTGAACCGTACAGTACACTAACTTCCACAGCGCAGTGCCTTCACAGAACAAGAGGATTTTGATCCCATCTCTTATCCTCAAGGGGTGCAGTATTTGCTCTCCGGATATCGTTAACGAAGAGTTACAAAGAATCAGCGACAACCTTCGGGAAAATGATTACCTTGATAAGTTTATCTTGAAGCAGCTAAAGGAACAAAATCTAAAGCCACTCAGGAGCATTGCTCGCAAGAAAGAGTAGTTCAGAGTTTTGCCATTTAAGGGCAATATTGCAATGTCGACGCCTGAGAGATGCTGTTGTGAAAACTTATTTTGCAGCTCGTTTAAGAATTGTTTACCACAACAAGCCGTTGATTACAAAACCCTTATAAGACAAGCACCCCTCGTTGACCCATTCAATGCTCGTTTATCACTACTCTTGCTCCTGTGATGCACGATACATGGGTCGCAGAACGAGACGCTCGTTCCAGAGCATTCGCCAGCACATCCCGGCGTGGTTTTACAAAGGCAAAAGGAGGTCCTCAGACAGGTCACTGATGTCGCACCTCCTCGAATGTGACCATACTGCATGTGAGAATGACTTTAAGGTCATCTACTCACTACCTGAAGGCTTTACGCAAGGATTCCGCAAGTTGATCTTGTCTATTGCCGAGGCTACCTGCATGCACCATCTGAAGTCAGAATCAGGTGTACATAAACGAATCATACGGCCGATACCACTACAGTGGTCGACTGGCATGGTTAGTTAGTTTTCTCTTTGTGAATTTTCCTATTTACTTTAGATGCTAAAGCTTGTGTATTAATGAGCCTTTCGTGCACTTTGCTTGTTATCTGTAGCCGTCTTTACTCATCGGTTTTGACCGTTCAAACAAGTTAGAAATCAATTCTAACCCGATTTGACGCTTACCCAACACAATCAGCGTTATGTAAACGTTTGGATCTGACGAGAGTTTACCGAAAAGAATTCTTAACCTCTAACTGATTTCTGGTCTTGATTCATATGAATGCAGTGGGAATAGTTGCACTGCTGAAGAACAGAATTTCTTGTGATTCGTTGAGAGACAAAGCGCTGTAACACCGCTATTATGGTTTGGATACTACGGTCTTTAAGTTCGGTTAGAATATTTGCAATGCACCGAGCAGCGGTGTAAAGGTAAGTCAGCATTTTTGGTTCCGATTGACTCTTGGTTGACTAAGGCATTCAGGTATGAGAGAGGAAACGACGGGTGATACGCGCTTCTATGATAAGATGGTGACATTTTGTCTACTGTTTGATTTAACCAAAATGCTTCCTATTTCTCATCTGAACCTGCTTCAGACTAGAAAATCGCTGACAGGTCACCTGCGTAAACACCGGTAGCATTGTTTGTTCAGGACATCTCATTTCTGATCTCTGCAAAGTTTATGCATCCATCAGCCAGAGCTCTTTTGAAAGGGTTTTACAATAGTTCAGTAAGCGCTCTAACATTTTTGATTTTTTTAAGAGAATAACCAGATGACTTCAACTGTGAGATGACTCAGTCATTTCGTGCAAGTCGGAATTATAGAAGAGATTTCATTTTTTGTGATTTTCGCTTCGCTTTGAGTGAAAAACGTGTTTCTTTATTTTGGGTTACGCGTTATGTAATTGGAGGAACCAAGTAGCCTTTCGGGTGATAACTTAACAATATCATCCAAGGACGTCGCTTTGCGACAAATGGTGACTATTCCTTCTACGATTGTCCTATCATGTTAAAGCTTGGAAAGGATGCATGTGTTTTGACAATCATGATACTGCGTCCTTCATTTTTGATTCTTTTCAAATCCCTCGAGCTCCAAATCTACGTCGGTATACATGCGCAACCCATTGGATCAGAATTGCAAAGAGTCTGCCGAGAGCAAAATAGCGATGGAAGCTTCCAAACTCTATATGATATGTCGTGCTTTACCATAGTTAAATGAATCTAGGTGACAAATAATTCCTACTCTACTTATTTTTGTTTCTTTAACGTTCATCAAGACTCATAAGGAGTATCATCATCATCATCATCATCATCATCATCATCATCATCATCATCATCATCATCATCATCATCATCATCATCATCATCATCATCATCATCATCATCATCATCATCATCATCATCATCATCATCATCATCATCATCATCATCATCATCATCATCGTCATCATCATCATCATCATCATCATCATCATCATCATCATCATCATCATCATCATCATCATCATCATCATCATCATCATCATCATCATCATCATCATCATCATCATCATCATCATCATCATCATCATCATCATCATCATCATCATCATCATCATCATCATCATCATCATCATCATCATCATCATCATCATCATCATCATCATCATCATCATCATCATCATCATCATCATCATCATCATCATCATCATCATCATCATCATCATCATCATCATCATCATCATCATCATCATCATCATCATCATCATCATCATCATCATCATCATCATCATCATCATCATCATCATCATCATCATCATCATCATCATCATCATCATCATCATCATCATCATCATCATCATCATCATCATCATCATCATCATCATCATCATCATCATCATCATCATCATCATCATCATCATCATCATCATCATCATCATCATCATCATCATCATCATCATCATCATCATCATCATCATCATCATCATCATCATCATCATCATCATCATCATCATCATCATCATCATCATCATCATCATCATCATCATCATCATCATCATCATCATCATCATCATCATCATCATCATCATCATCATCATCATCATCATCATCATCATCATCATCATCATCATCATCATCATCATCATCATCATCATCATCATCATCATCATCATCATCATCATCATCATCATCATCATCATCATCATCATCATCATCATCATCATCATCATCATCATCATCATCATCATCATCATCATCATCATCATCATCATCATCATCATCATCATCATCATCATCATCATCATCATCATCATCATCATCATCATCATCATCATCATCATCATCATCATCATCATCATCATCATCATCATCATCATCATCATCATCATCATCATCATCATCATCATCATCATCATCATCATCATCATCATCATCATCATCATCATCATCATCATCATCACGGAAAACCTCCGTATCGTAAATTTTCGAGTAGTTGCCCGGGTTCCTCCACGAATCCGGATCAACAGGTTGCTAATACTTCAGGCGCGCCCAGCGGGTCCTACCGCGGTCTGCGCGTAGCCTTTACTAACGTATGCAGTTTGATGAACAAACGCGATGTGCTGTACGACTTCGTAAGCTCTCAGCGACCGGACGTATTAGGCCTTGCTGAGACATGGTTAAACTCCGACGTAAACGCCCAAGAACTGGAAATCCCCGGCTACTCATGCTTCCGCTGTGATAGACCATCAAATGATCGCGGTGGCGTTCTACTTTACATAAAGTCTTCCTTGTGTGGGAGACTAGTGAGCGCCTATCAAAGCGCTGATGGTCTATGTGAGCAGTTATGGTGTTCGATACACCTCAGACGCTGCGAGTTGCACGTGGGCGTGGTATATCGCAGCCCACTGAGCCGCAGTCTGGACTGGTTGCCGCATGTCCGCAACCACATGAGTCGTCCGATGTTCCTACTCATGGGCGATTTCAACTTGCCCCGAATACAGTGGCCTGAAGCTGAACTTCTCCCCGGCCACTGTGAAGTCGAGAGGAAGTTTACGGAGTTGCTATTTGAAACTGGGGCCACACAGCACATCAACCAACCGACACGCATTACTGCGCGCGCAACTCCATCATGCTTAGACCTGCTGTTGACTAGCTGTGAGCAGCGTGTACATAACATTCAAGTCTTAGAGCCTCTGGGAGCGAGTGACCACTCAGTGATCATAGGCAGTTTAGAACTACCGCTACCGTATCCTCTCCCACTAGAGTCAGCCTTCAGCTATTGGAAGGCGGACTTTAATGGCCTCATTCGAGCAGCGAGCCAGATAGACTGGTCTTTACCACAGGATTCATCTATTGAAACCTGTTGGGCTATCATTAAAGAGGGAGTGAAATCGTTGTGCGCCCGATTTGTGCCCCTCAAATTTCGGAAAGTTGGGCCAGTCAAACCACATTGGTTTGACAAAGAGTACAACAAAATGGCCCGACGGCGACGTAGACTATGGAACAAATTCGTGTTATCTGGCTCTGATGAGGACTACAATGCCTACAAGGTACAACGAAATCGCTGCAACAACGCGAAAACAAGAAAACGCAGAAGCTTCGAAGAGGAGCTTGCAACTGCCTCAAAAACTGCTCCCAAGAGGATCTTCGCATATGTGAAGCGGCGCCTAAGGCCTATAGCTAGTATTCCAGTGTTAGAAGGCTCAGAAGGACAGCCTCTAACCTCAAGTACAGATCGTGCGTCAGCATTGGCAACGCACTTCGCCTCCGTATTCGCAAGTGACCAGATGTCTGTAATGAGTTCGACGAGCACCGCTCCAGCCGAACTTAACAGCCTGGACTGCAATATTGAGGATGTACGCAAGATTCTAGCAAATCTTGACGGGACGAAACCTGCTGGGCCAGATGGTATACACCCACTAATCCTCAAGTCATTATCGACCATAATTGCACCTTCTGTAACTGAACTGTTTAACAGGTCACTATCCACTGGTCTACTACCGGAAGACTGGAAATGCTCAATCGTAAAGCCTATCCCGAAAGGTGGTAACCCAAGCAAAGTGGATAACTACCGGCCGATCTGCCTGACGGCAGTTTTGGCAAAGACGCTCGAGAAGATCGTGAAGAAGAGCCTTCTGCAACTTCTCGAGTCGAAAAGCCTGTTAACCTCCGCACAGCATGGTTTCCTGAGAGGTCGTTCGTGCATCACCAACCTACTGTTGACGAGGCACGAATGGTTACAAGCACTGAACAAAGGCCAATCGGTTGACGTCATTTACATTGACTTCAGTAAGGCTTTTGACAAGGTTAACCATGCAGTGCTCCTTGACAGACTGAGGATGTGCGGTGTTGGTGGTTCGCTGCACAAATGGATCAGCAATTTCCTTATTGATCGGAAGTGGAGAGTCCAGGTGGACAACCATCTAACCGACTGGTATCCATCGAGCAGCGGCGTGCCCCAAGGCACTGTACTGGGCCCGATATTGTTTCTAATCCATATAAACGATGTGCCTCAGCTACTACAATCACATTGTGCTTTGTTCGCAGATGACTTGAAAGTGTGGAGAGTAATCCGCACACTCAATGATTGCGATTTACTTCAGCAGGATCTCGACCGCCTCTCAACATGGTCTACAGAGGTTAACCTTCCGATCAACCCTGCCAAGTCGCAATTCATGAGGTTGGGTAAGTGTGATTACGGCCGAACGTACACAGTGGCTGGACAACCGTTACATCCCGCTCCTTTCGTGCGCGACCTCGGTGTACTCTCACGCTGCGACCTAAAGTCCATTGACAACACGAATAGGCTGTACCAAAACAGCCTTCGTATGCTTTGGGCTCTCAGGCGCAGCTTTAGCACTTGGTCCGAAGAGATTGCCACTCGCCTCTTCGTCTCGATAATACGACCAATGCTAGAGTACGGCACTCCCGCATACTGTCCCATCACCCGGGGCGAAGTAGAAAAGCTTGAGCGGGTGCAGCATGTAGCCACTAGGCTGATTCCCAACTTACGAGGTATGCCATACGAAGACCGATGTAAGAAACTAGGGTTATACACCCTATCTTATCGTCGGCTGAGGGTTGACCTCATCATGACGCACCGGATATTACATCTGGGTGATTACCCCATGTTGAGACAACTACTTCATCTGCGCACACCAAGCTGCACGCGAGGACACCGGTATAAACTTATTGTCCCGGATTTGAAGCGGGTCGCCCATCAACTCTGTTTCGAACGAAGAGTGGTGAATGTCTGGAACGACCTGCCTCAGCATATAGTAGAAGCGAACACAGTGGCTAAATTCAAGATGCTACTAGACAAACAATTTGCAGAGGCAAAGTACAAAGAGCGAAACGATAAATAAAAAGTTCATGTCCGAAAACGACGAATGATGCAGCTACACAGAGCAAACTCTACTCACTGCTTCGCACCAGTTCTCAGTTCTCAGTTCTCTCATCATCATCATCATCATCATCATCATCATCATCATCATCATCACCATCATCATCATCATCATCATCATCATCATCATCATCATCATCATCATCATCATCATCATCATCATCATCATCATCATCATACATGTCAGCTAGAGGTGGCGAAACACCTCCGCTATTGTACCGCAATACATAAAGGAAATAAATACATACATAAAATACATAAAGGAAAAATAAATACGACAGTTGCATGCCAGCTGAGCTACCAGCAACGGATAGGCATCGTCCCGGTAAGCTACCAGCCAGCTACTAGGCAAAAAATTATTATGTTTTACCCTACGAAATGAGATCGTAGATGGAGGGGAGGCTAAAAGGGATGGGGAGGGACAGAGAAACACGCAGCAGGAACGCCACTGAGGTCGGCTTCCTGCCATGTCAGCAAGTGTATCCAGCCAAACGTGTTCACCGTCTTTTGGACCCCAACCAGGGAGCCGTGAAGCTCCAACCGAGGCCAGCTCAGAATTGAGGGACTTCATTCCTCTGGACCAAACCATCGCTTAGCCACCTCTCCACTTCTTCCACCCACATCCCCGATGAGCAAACAAAGCACGTCGAAGGAGCCGGTGGGCTGGCTTGTGCAACACGTGGCCCAGCCATCGGAGCCTGGTGCGGGAAACAACGGTGCTGAGCGGTTCATTCCAATTTCCTGGGCCGTAAACAAGGCGTCGAACACGTTAGTTTCTCGCGCGGTGTTCCCACCAGATGTGAGCCCAACTGCGAAGGCACAGATGGTCGAACGTAACTAGCCTCTTCATGTCCGCCGATCTCAAGAGCCAGGACTCGCAACCGTACAGTAAGATCAAACGTACCGCTGCATGGTACACTCTACCGTTCAGAGCGAGAGTGATGTCGCGCCGCCGCAATAGGTGGCGAAGGTTAGCAAAATCACTTCGAGCTTTTACTATACGGTTCGTGACCTCGTCTTCGATCCAAACGGCACTCATACAACTTCCCAGGTAATTGAATTTCTGAACGACTTCTAGCTGATTCCCAACAAGGGTCAGCGCGCGAGGCGATCCCTGCCAATCATGCAGGAAAGCTTTGCACTTGGATGGTGCAAAGCAAAGCCCGAAGCGGCTGACAGCCAGTGCTAATCTGTCCAGCGCGGCTTGGCACGTATGGCAGCTGTCACAGATGAGGGCAATGTCGTCTGCATACTCCAAGATAAGAAGTCGTTCTCCTGGGAGTAGCTCCACACCTTCCAAGTCATGTCCTGTAATTGCAATCTTCATGACTTCGTCAATAGCGAGGTTGAAAAGGAAAGGTGACAGCGGGCATCCTTGTCTCACACCGCTGGAGATATTGAAGGGTGGAGACAGCTTGACGTAAGCCCTCACTCTGCCCGTGCTACGCGCATATAATGCTTGGATAATATTTACATATTTCTCGGGCACACCTTTCCTGAGTAAACATTTCCAAAGGGCACATCGATCAACCGAATCGAAGGTACATTTGATGTCGAGGAACACGATTAAGCTGGGCCGCCAATATGTGTGGAGTTGCTCCAACAACTGACGCAAGGTGAGGATATGGTCGATGCAGCCACGACCACGACGAAACCCGGCTTGCTCCTCACGAATCTGGCTTTCACGAGCGCCAGTCAGTTTGTGAAGGATTATGGAGGCGAGTAATTTGGAGGCGATGGAGATCAGACTGATTCCTCTATGGTTGCCGCATTCCGAGCGCGACCCGCCTTTGAAGATGTGAACAATAACGGAGCAGCTCCAGTCGGTTGGGACAGTCTCCTGCTCCCACAGTTTCACTAGTAATTCATGTAAAGCATCAACAAGAGCAGAGCCTCCGAATTTGAAGAGGGCTGGAGGAAGATCATCTTGTCCCGCGGCTTTGTTCAACTTCAACAACTTCAACTTCGACTTCTAAGCAAGAGGGTAGATCCAAAGGGACAGCCCAAGGAGCAGGGCCATCAGTGGCCGGCGAATCGAACAATTCTAGCCGATTAAATTGCTTTTCAAAATGCTCAGCCCAACGCTCCAAACGTTTTGACAAATTGTGGATAGGCTATCCACTCTCATCACAAATTGTTTCAATAACAACAAGTCTCCTGCTTCCCGTTTCCCGTATCAGACGGAATAACTTACGATGGTTGCCAAGGGCAGCGACCACTTCCATCTCTGACTCACGATGAGACCACCAAGATTCGCGGTCTCTCTTCAGGCTAGAGCGGAGTTTTGCCCGGAGCTCTTTGCGAGTTTTGTTGTGTTCACTTCCAGCCGGGATATGCCGGCGAGCATCGATAAGTTCCAGAGACCGAGAAGAGACCCAATGTCCATGTTGGCTATTAAACATACCACATGAGGATTTGCCTGCTGCTATTAAGGTCTGGCGAACATGTGATCAGTGACCATCAATTGTCTCCAGTGAGCGATTACTCAACTCGCATGTCAGCGTACTTCGATACGCACTCAGAACAGCTGGCTTTGTCAGTTGGATGATGTCAATGCGCTCACCGCGTCGTCGTGGGTGTCCGCCAAAACGCATCCGCATGTCAGCACATACAAGTGCATGATCGGTGTCTACACATGTGCTCCAAATTGAGCGACAATTCTGGATGCAGGCTCTCCAGCGGTAACTGATTGCAATGTGATCGATTTGCGTCCAATGCTGGTTCGATGCTGGTGGGCGCCAAGTCACCCTCCGGTGGGTGCTGTGTCGGAGGTCAGTGCTCACAAGTAATAAGCGAGCATCTTCACACAAATGAAGTAAACGCTCACCGTTATCATTACGGGAGCCTACACCGTGTTGACCGCCCAGATGCAGTTCATCAGTGGACAACTTTCCAACTTGTGCGTTCATGTCCCCCGCCAGCACAGTAGTGTCCGTGCTTCATCTGTGGCGGAGGAGCTCGTTAAGTTGGCGGTAGAAGTCGTTCTTTACCGAATCATCGCTGCAGTTTGTGGGCGCATAGGCAGCGATGATGAATAGACATCTATTAGTCCGGCGCGAGTTCGAAGCTGTGAACGAGCCAGCCAATCGGACCGCACACATCCGGCTACTGATTGGAATCCAATCAAGCACAGCAGCTTCAGCCCGGGGACTCAGGGCAATGCCAACACCAGCTTGTTCTGTGCTCGAAGCTGCATCGTCACCGGATTGGCGCAATGAGAAAATGCTGCTTGCGTCACCTGAAGGAGATCGCAGAGTGAGCACAGTGCTCGAGTCTTGCAGGCGAGTCTCTGATAAACAGCAGATATCGATCGAGAGAGTCTCCAATGTTCGGGCAAGTGCTGCCTGTTGACCGATTTGTAGTAGTGTGCATACATTGAGGCATGTCAATTCTGAAGGAGGATCGAGGGCTCCAAATGGAAATCGATGAACTGGAATGGACCGCTTGGTTGGACATGGGCTTGTCGACAGGAGAGGAGTGACGCTCCGCGTAAGCATGTGAGTTGAAATTAGAAGGTAAATGCCTAGCAAAGCATGTTGGGGGAGGGCCAAGAATCGGGGGTTGAAAACTGGGGGGATATAAGTGAAGTTGGAAGGGGACGGTAAGAGTGAAAAAGTGTAAGAGGGGGAATAAGAACAGTATCACTGATTTGATTATTCAGGTACTGCTTGCGGTGAGTTGCTCTATTCAGAAATACTTCACGAGTTTGCATCCTCCAGGTGATAATTTTTGCTATCCTATGTAATTTTCGAATTTCTGGCATTCATCAACTCATGAAAGTGCATCGCTTTTGAGTCGTTTGTCCAGCGATATGACTGCGGTGGATAGAGCCATCACAGGCATGCAATCGCTTATATGCAAACTTTTCTAAGGAAACCGGGCACAATTTGCGTCCTATTCTTTCCTTGGTAGCCACATGCATCGATTTACGAAAACCGATAAATAAACAAGCCAGCGCCGCTTGCGTGTCTTTTCTTTGAATGAGACTACCTCCGTTGAGATATGATCGCATCTTAAGGCAGGAACGGACGACCGGCAACCAACAATGGCATCACCGCAACTGTTTGCTCGCATGATAAGCAGCTCCCCGGGTGACCGCTAAAGTACGCCACCAACTCAAAATATGATTCAGCTTGGCTGCGCAGCTTGTCCATAAAAATGGGTTAGTATTTACTATGTGAATGTGATAAAGTTAGCCAGCCGTTTCCACCATAAATTGCAGAAAACTGCCATAAGCAATAGGCAATGCAGCAGAGAACTTGACATTGCTTTCCACCGTTATATCAAGCAATTTCAAAATTCGACTGCTTATTTTCCTCAAATAGGAATAAGGCAGGTTGACTGAGACAATCCAACAATTTTTCGAAAATAATGATAATTGTCTGGCATTGAGCATGACCACACTACGGGTTTTTAAAATCTCTGTCTTTAACCTTAAATTTCAATTGAAATGTTCTAACCGAGGATGGGTGTCTGTTCCGTTTAAATTCAAGCGAGCCTTCCTCTACTCATTTTGCTAAATGATAGCACCTACTATGCATATTTAGTATGCTTCAGGGAGTAGTAGATCCGAAAAACTAAGTGATCATGTTGGGCAATGACAGATGGCTTAGCAAACCTT